CTTCAGCTAATGCAAATTCATTTACTGACATTTTATATATCAATGTCTTGTGTGGAGCAGCAGATACGTGAAAGCTCTTAGCACCATTTTCAGCCGTCTGACACTTTACCTTACAGTATGGCTAGGGACGGTACAGTATATAACTCATTCTCAAAAAATCCCAGCAGTAATTTATTCTACCAAAACAGCTGTGTTACTCATGAGAAGAAAGGTTAAACACTAGTATTGCTAAAGGTTGACCTGCCCATACATCTTTAGTGTTTTGTCATAATGTTCAACTAGGCATGTCTCATTATTTCTTACTCGATTTACGTGCTCTGTGACTGCATTAACTCTCTATAGATAGCAATTCTTAACAGTTCTTCATCTCTACCTAAAGCTACTAAAGTTTCTTTTGCGTATTGACTAAAGTTTGTTTATTATTCATTCCACAACTGAGAGTTCACCACTCTTGCTGACTGCAATATGTTGGCATGTCCAGTGTACAGTGATGCCACCTAAGCTCTATTTTTAAATGTATATACATATCCTGAATTTGCCAGATGTAGACAGTGAGAAAAAGTCCGGCAGCGCAGCCAATTAATGCCCTATACAAATGTAAGATATGCTAAAACACTGAACTCATTAATTCTTACTAAATGTCTTCTTCACTGAGCAAGGCCTTCAAGTTTTTAATAACACACATAAGTTAATAACTGTAGTTGCAATTCAAATGCGTTTATTGGAACCATAATAGACCTTTCTTCTTATATTTGTTTTGCTTCCCTGGGGCTTGTTGTCCTTAAAGTACAAAATGACAGTCAGACCTGTAATTAGTTATGGTGAGTACAGGAGTCAGGAGGGTGTCCTCCTTTGCTCTGTTTTCTCAAAGTTGGTGTCTTTTTTTCTTTTTCTTTTTTTTTTTTTTTTGTGGTAATAAATGTAACGTGCTCTAGAGATACAGGTAACCCTCTTGATTTCTTCCTTTTCATCCCATTTTTCATGCTTTGTTCTCCTGCTCAGGTTGAAATAGCTTTACATTTTGAAGGTATAGCATTGTGCAACTGATTATTATCAGTGTATGGAGGTACACCTGAACTTGTGAAGAAGGTGGAAATAAAACTCAGCAATCCAGTCATGCCAGTTGGGAAAGCAGACCCTTCCCTTTCTGGAGCACATATAGAAAACATTTAACACATGAAACATACAGCGGAGACTCACAAAAAGAGTGAAAATAACACGAGAAAACTCCAGTGTGGAGGCTTTGAGTGCTGTAGCTCTCAAAGTTAAAACTGTTCAGTCCTTAAACTGGATGATATTTTGATGTTAGTATTCAAATTCAGTGTTGTCTTTTAAGGCTGTAGGTTCAAGACACTTGTTCACATTTAACCAAGCTAGAAACAGGCCTCACTTCCACTGCATTCCAGTCCTTTTTGGAAACCAGGCAGGTGAATATAATAAATAAATAAAAGATATAGGGGGGTAGTATAATTTCATCCATCAGCTGAACTATTCCTGATGTTTTCTTGGCATCTTGACAGAAAAAAAAAAAAAGGCACCAAAAAAAAAAAAAAAGAAAGAAATAGGTTATTAAGAGGTAAAAACCAAAATGCCAAAGATCTTTTTGCCAAGAAACCATCTGCTCCAATCACCACAAAATTGTGCAAGCATTGTGTTTTACTTCTTAACGCCCGAGGGGATTTTTTTGCCAATATTTCCAAGCCAACTTACAGGCCAAATGTGCGATCAACTGATTGATAGCTGCAGCCTCTGGAGCAAGGGCTTGGCCAGTGAGATATGTCTGGTCAATGAGAAACTCTGCAATTGCAGGTAGAAGGTTTGAGCTGCCCAGAAGGTGGAACTACCCAGAAGGTGGGACAAATAGACCGTGAATACTGAAATGCACCAAGGCATAACTATACCTTTACTGAGAGGCTGTCTCAGTGAGTATTTGCACATCATCAGCAGAACTATAAAGCTGCTGATTTTGCAGACATTTCTTCCTCAGCTTGATAAGTTAATATATATTGTTTAACATGATAATGTAGCAAGCTGTTGTTTTGCGGTTTGAAAGCCAGCTGCATTTGATTGATGCCAGGCATGGAAGTATTTATGAAATGACACTGAATTAGAAGTAGTCAGTTTATGGGTCTGGGGAAATGAATCTTTTATGAAGAATAAAACTTTATGATGAAGGAGTAATCCAGAGGAAGTGTGCAGCTGAATTAAACTCTTTTGGGCCGGATGTATGCTGTAAAGCCTTTTAAATAAAAATTTGTGTCACTATATTTTTAGGAAAGAGATCTCTGTAAACATCGTCTCTTGTGGTGGTCCAATCCCAAAAGTATGGTCATGCACGTTCTCTCTGTGAACACAACTAGTATAGGAAAGCTCTTCTCTGGAAATACAGCTATCAGTCTTCTTCAAAAGGTCCCTGGAGTGTATTTTAGCTGCTAGGTTAAAGCAGTTGCGATGTTTGAGCCGTCAACTGAAAATAACAGCCCATTCTAGCTTTTTGTATAATGAGGGGGTTTGTTTGTTTTGTTTTAATGGAACAGAATATGGAGCAGGTACCACTGTGCTTTGAAATGGATGGACAGCATTGAACTCTGGTTACTTTGCAAACCTGTGTGAGCACAAGAGCGTAAAGGATACGTTTCTGAGGACAGGCCATTCTCAGCGTGGCTGAAGAAGCCCAGCACCAACTTCCAGCTCCGTGCAAGGGCTTCCCTTCCGTTTTCAGATGCACTATTCGGCAGCTCCTCCGGTTGTTGTAGTGATGGGAGCATAGAGGTGATGTTTAAAGAGGTGCAGTTTTCCATATTGATGTTCATGAGCAGAAAACAGGTACAACCTTATAGACTGCACTAATGCATGATGACGTCCCCAGATTTTATGTGCATTTTTACATCTGTTACATGAACTTGTGAGAATAGAATAACTTTTGCTTAAGTGTAAATGCCACTATATGGTGGCTATAAACCAATATCTCAAAATTTTTGTCAGAAGCAACATAGAAACAAATGGATCGAATTCTCTACAGCTTTCCTCCTGGAGCTAACATCTCTGTGCAAAATGAATGTAAAATTCTGCTCTTCTGAGTTGGTGAAATTTCTGATGTGTATGCACCAGAGGAATGATTGCACAGAACAAGAAAATGTCCTGTTGAAAGGTTAAAGAACTTCAGCTGGCAAATCAGAATCAGATTCAGCTGTTGTATTAAGCCAGTTTTATGCCAGAGTAGTAATTAGAGATTTGGGGATTTGCATCAGATCTTAAAATCTGCATGTGCCTTCCACAGTCTTATAATCAGAAATACTTCAGTAGAACTGTCTAGGACAACTATATAAATCAGGTTCGTACCTGATATATATTTTAATCATGTTCTAAATCTCTGCTGAGCATCAACATCTCTAATAGATTAATAATGGTAGCGACTATATATACCTTTAAAATATAGTCCAGCGTACATGAGTAACATGAGTATAGCATCTTAATAAATTGCATTTTTCAAGAAAGAGTTGCATACCCAAACCCAGTGAATTTCACTTGGACACTCTTGAAGATCCCTTGAAGATTTGCCTTAATTCTTATTTATTTTGGTGAAGTCTCATGACTTAGGCAATCTTTGTGAAACACATTATCTAATATAAATAAAAATAAATGCCGTAAACATTTTAAAAATAGCACAATGTGCTGTATGTGTGAAAAGAGGGTGAATCTTCATTCTTCAAAATGGAAAGCTGCTCTTTTTTTCTTTTTCTTCTGAAGAAGCCTCAAACAAAGTAGGTGAAAATATCAGGGCTAGGATCATCTTGTAATATTGGAAAACATGGCACAGTATCCAGTGGTAAGCTTCTTTTTGAGCTGTCTGACCTTTAATCACTGGTGAATAAAACCAATATGCTGTCAGATCTCTGTTATTTTTCTCAAGGGGATAACTCTGTCTCAAGCAGCAATGAAGCAAAACCTTTGAGAGCTTATATTCAAGGTCACTACAACAAGAGGGAATACTTTGTAGGAATGCTTTGTGCTCTGGGAAGTACAGAAAAAAAAAAAAAAGAAAAAAAAAAGAAGAAACACCTAAACAAGCCAGGTTTGTGTGTTTAACAGTGAGCCAGGCAGCTGTTAGGTCAGCCTGCAAATGAAGCTGGGTTTGTTTTTGCTTTTACCACAGTATTTCGTTTTTATTTGATTTTATAAGTCATCTGTGCCTCAAGACCTTCACAAAGAATATAAACTCACTGTTTATCATTGTACATGAACAATATATATTTCTGTTCTGCAGGCACTTCCAATGTAATGTCTTAGGGCTTGCCTGTACCAGAAAGTTTTAGTGACTTGTAGTTATTTTGCCACAAAAGTCTATGTAGATGTGAGAATAGATTGTATGGTCTTACAGAAATGAAAATGTTATACGCTATAGAATTTTCATGTTAAAAAACCTTCACCACTCAAAGGATAGCCTGGCAAGACAAGTGCATTTTTTTTTTCAATTGAGGCTGATAGAACAAACCCATGAATTTGGACATTTTGAAATTAGAATAATGTAGGCTTTCATGATTACAAAATTTCTTACTGACAGAAGTTATAGTGTCCAACCAATTATGAAACTGCGCAAGACTTTAAAGTAACAATAGAGACCTCTCTATGTTCAGCACTGTCGTCTTCATCATAAATAATCTGTAGACTTTCTACCTGTAGGATTTAAAGTGAAAAAGATACAACTGTAGTTAGTTTTGTGAAATGCATTTAATATTGATGGCAACAAAGCATTCAAATATGGGGAACTTATTTTAGAGCCATATGTCTGCTGCAAACCAGAAATCACTAGTCTTTTGGTGTTGTCTCAGTAGCAAGTGAAAATAACATGAATACAAGTACAGACTAAATATCAGGTGACACTACTTAGTGTCTTGAGATAATTACATATTCCACCCACCTGGTTCTCACATGTGAAGCCAACATAATTTTGCATATTCTTGCTAGCTACCCTCTGTGTCTGTCCTTCTTTCCTGTAGGAACGACTGTGATGCGCATGACAGCATTTGATGCTGATGACGCTAGCACAGACAATGCTCTTCTGCGGTATAACATCCTCAAACAGACACCTACCAAACCATCTCCAAATATGTTCTATATCGACCCGGAAAAGGGAGATATTGTTACAGTGGTGTCACCCGTGCTCTTGGATCGGGAGGTGAGTGGACATTTTCCTATCGCCAGTCTGATGTTTTACTGTTTGTGCCTCTAATCTTCTGTGATGTGAAATGGGGTTCGGAGTACTGTCGGGGTGGGAATTCAGATGCTCAACTTGGAGGAGCCTTTTAAGAATTTTATTTATTTGTTATTTGGCTATAAGAATTTATATGCTCAGATCAATGTTTATAAATCTAGTAGTTCATAATTTCTGGGCAGGACTTAGTGTTGGATGGTGAGAGCAAAGATTTCAAAAAATAAGTGGAATTCAACTTTGAGTTACCAACTAACTGTTTGGAAGTAAACAAAAAAGCAAACCCTAATTGTGAATATAGTTTGCTATGAGATTGTTATAGTTTGGTGCTTTAAGTACTTTTCTATAATTTTCTTTTTATTGAGTGGACTTAATGGACTAATTAACTTGGTACCCCATAGGCAAAAAATGAAAATACAAAAAAGCAATAGTAAAGGTAGGCTGCATGTGGTTTTAAAGTGAATTACTGTAGTGCCAAAATCTATGTTTATTATAGAATATTAACATTATGAAAGTATAAATTGATAGCAAAGAAAGCTTAGGTATGATCATTTCATGTTAAAAAGTTAATAAGATATTAAAGTAGAGCCAAACTGTTAAGACAAAGCTTTAGTTGTCAGAATATGAGAGATCTGGGCACCAATACAAGGATGACCTGAATAGTTACTCTATAAATTACCATTTCCTTTGATTGTGTAGCCCTATCGTGCTCCTAGGTTCCTGGAGATGACCAAATTATTTTCTTGCAGGCTGTCTCAGTTATGTGCTGATTTACTGAACTTGTCTTCTAAATTGCTTAGATTCGGGACTGTCTAGTGTTCTCAATATTCAGCACATTATTTGTCATTTTAACCAGATAAAAATTGTGCCCGTACCACTTCCCATTTTAGGTGGGTAGTTTTTCTGCAGGCTTTTCCAACAGCAGACATTTAATGTGTAAACCAGATGCATGTTCCAGACACATGGTGCAGTAATCTAGGTCTGTAGATTTGTCTTCTAAATTTAGAGGGCTTCCAGTTCTGTCACACTTGTGTGTCTGGCCACAGACTCATGCCCAAGATTTATATAATCACTACCTTTTTGCCTCAAGTTTATGTTCTAAATTCATTGTTTCAGTTCAAAAGCTTTATACTCTTTTCTAAAGTCAGTTTAGGTATTTTTGTTCCTAATAGATAACCATTGCCCATATTAAACCAATTTACTCAAAATTAGAAAATCAATGGAAGGGAATGAACATGCCTGCTTTTCCCAGTGTCTTCCAAAGGTCACTGGTGATTCGTGAAATAATGACGCTGTCTCCATACAAGAAGCCTGGTCTCAGTCGAATGGGTATTATGGCTGGGTAGTATATCCTGAAAGCAAGATCTGAATTCCTCATGATTTTTAATAATGGTTGATTCAATACCCTTACTTTGAAGGTGACATGGCAAGCTGCGGTCTTGTTGAAAATGCAAAGTAATTTTTGTTGTTGCTGCAAATGCTGAATGTTTTATGAGCCAAAATGTAGGGCTGTGTAAAATTTTAACACTAAAACCAAGCATTATCTGCAGGTAAAGTCCAGTCTAATATTGTCTTGTCAGGTGAAAGGCATGGGAAAAAGTATGGTTTCCATTTCTTCACCTGATGCTCTGTGTTGTGTTCTCTGTCATCTTTGTGGGTTCAGCCTCTTCTCCCCCTTCCAGCTGATGTATGCCTTGTGTTTCGACTGTCATGCCTCCATTTTTGGATCTGTGGAGTTAACCTTTCATGGTCAAAGATGTATTACTTCTGTTTTTAACCATAGCAGCAGCTTTTAGGGACAAGCACCCTAATAATCCTATTCTGAACAATTCTGGGTACTGACATAATCTTGATAATATATATATAACTAACTCATGTATTTCTGTGTAGCTCATGAAATTGAATGATTGTAAAAGAATTGTCTGCCTCAGGTGGAGAGAGACAGGAGCAACATCTGGAGGAGGAAATGTCTGTCTAGGTACTGCTTAGGGGATAAGTATCTGCACATCACCAGGCTTGAAGAAGTGACTTTCGGGGTGCTGGAGAGTTGTTGGGAAGGAGGGGGTGCTGTTTGCAACCCCTCTGTAGGATATCGGCTGATATTAGTGTAGTGCCTTGTTGTTATTGTATTTTCTCTGGAGAACCTTTGTAGATCTTAAATGTTGTGATTTATCACAACGCACTGTGAAGTGCATTGTAGAAACATGAGACAAAGAAATAATCTGTCCCCTAAAAGCTTTGCTGGTAGGTGTGTGACATCAGAGGACAAAAAATGTAGGTGGAGGCATGGTTGGACGAAGACCATGTGAAACAGCATTTGTGACCAGGAGAGAGAAATGCTTTTACCTCCCCAGTTCCTACCCTTCTTTTGTTGGCATCTCAGGGCAAAATGTGTTACAGTAGACACACATAGGGAACAGCAAGTTTTTTCATGAATGTTTTCCATCGCCTGGAAAAGAGAGTGTTGAACAACTCAGCTGCTCCTTTTTGCTGACTGGGCTCTGACCCAGCAGTAGCGGCAGGTGGCTGAGTGCAGCTCGTGAAGATAATCGTATCGGGGGGGAAGGTGCACTTCTCCTGGGGAACTCCACAGCTCCAGAAGCTGCAAAAATTGTTCCTGGTGAATCTGATTATTTGTGACTGCCAGTTCAAACTAGCAGCTTCTCCTAGATTTTACTTAAGCTGTACATTGGGTCAATTGCCTGTGATTGTTCTGTCTTTTGTTAGCTCTATTTTCTGTTTGAGTCTTAAGAGTGGGTACCAGTCAAAAGTGGATTATTCTTAGTTGTTCCTTGTAGGTGTACTGTTTAAAACTATATTAGCCCTAGATGCTAATTGAGAAGCTAAATTAAAGTAAAAATTTCCCTAAGATAGATAAAGAGAAGGGAGAAAACTTATTTCTCATTAATCATATGTATATGCACCAAAGGTTGATAGGAACTCTTTTAAAGCATGATAAAACACTGATTGAAATGACTCAGATTTTCCATCTCTTTTACTAAGTTTTACCACAGCTTGGACCTTGATGCTTTTGTGAAACTTTCCATCTCATTTAAGACAAATTGACAGAATATAAATTATTTGGGGTTTTGTTTTTATTTTGTTGGTTTTTTTTTTTTTTAATTTTAAGTAACATTTATTTCATGTTTGTGCATCGGAGGGAACAGAAGACTGGCGGTATTGCCCAGTGTCAGATACTGAGATGTGGAGATACAAAGCATCTGGCAGGTTTTGCACATACTGTATAGTCTGTATTATTTTTCCATGCTTCAACATTTTCGGAAAAGTTGCTGTGGCATAGCCTCAGAAATTCTTGTTTCAGTGCAAAGAATGAAAATACAGGTATTTACCCTAAAGTAACATAAAGTATGGCCATCTAGAGAGCTCAGTTTTTCTGTCCAGTTGATTGTATGTGGAAGAATCTTAGCGTACGTAAATAAACATCTAGGTTAATAAATTCAAGGAGATGAAAATAAAATCAAACTTTTTGTGGTAATACTTTAGAATTAAAAGTAAATTGTAAGTAGATACTTTTAAAATAAAATAAAACTTAAAAGCAAGGGAAAAGGAAAAGATTAACTTGTTTCTAGTGAACCTCAGCTGTGCATCTGCTTGTTCTTTTAACTACACAGGATCAGTTCAAAATGAAGACAATTTTGTTAAAATCCTACAAGTGTTTAAAATTTCTATTTTCTGCGACTGGCATTTACTAGGTCTCTTGCTAAAATGAAGGCACGGAGATGGGAACGCTCCCTGGTGTGTTAAGTGACCTCTCCTTCAAAGGCCATTCCGAAGTTGTTCTGTGCATGAGGCAGCAGAAGGAATATGTAATGTGAAAGGCATCGCTCTCTTTAGGGTTGTTTTCTTTCTAGAAACATAAAGATTGTCTTAGGTCTTTTATCTGGGTTGCCTGTCTGCTTTCAGATCCCCAGCCTAGCTATTTCATTTTTTTATCTTTAGTAGTAATTGAATGGGTGTTTGATTTAGCATGGATGGGTGACAGCGTGTGCTTTGGAGCTATTTCCATAGCATAGTGTCACCTACAAAAGCATTAAGCAAAAAAGTCATGCTCCTCCTGTAAGCAGAAAAAGCGAATGTAGGAATCCCACAGCTTACATCCAGCAAGCTGCTGAGCGCTTTTGATTTCTCTTGACATCTGCTGAGGGAAGCAGAGTGCTTCATGCCTCCAAGGAAAGACTTGGCACCGTGCAGGACTTGTATTTATATACCAATGTAGTTTTATTTATAAATTTTTTAGATTCAGAATTGTTTCCAAAAGTGCATGATCCGCAGGGTTTGCAGCAAAACTCACGTAATTTCTCAAAGAACATCCATTTTCATTTTCAGAAGGCAGGTAAGGACATATTTTTGAAGATTAATGCGGGTTTTTTTCTTGTGGGAGTTAGGCATCCTTGAATGTGTCAGCAATAAAGATTGAAGAGTGTTAGGAGGCAAATTATACCTCCAGATATCCACTGGAGAATACATTTTGATTCATAAATTCAGAGAAGGGTGCCCTCCATGAAAGTGTATGGTCTAAACGACCCAAAATAGAACACAACAGGGGATGGGGAAAAAAAGGGAATAAAAAAGGGGGGAAAGAAGAAAAAAGAGGAAAGAAACCTTGAAGAAATGTCCTGAATTTTGTATTTCAGGGATGGAGAGTCCATTTCAAAGTGATACTTCCCTGCAGTGAAAGAAAAATAATGCTGCTCATGTGCATAGGAGGAGAAAACGCTTGTACTCTTGTAGAATCAACTCTTAAATTTCCTTTATGGATCAGTAATCAGTTTTTCTGCTTACCCACAGTGCTGTTTTGCCAGTGTTACGCACCCCTGTGCTCTGCAGGAAAGTAGCTATATGACTTGTATAAATTTTATATGACTAAAGTACTGTAAGAAAGCTGCCACCACAGTTGCTTAAGTGAAATATTTACTTCTCACAGTTTGAGGAGTAATATGCTTTTG